GTTTATGAGGCTGTTTTCATCTTTTTTGTTTATTCATTCAGTGAAAATATGTCTGCATTAGGCAGCGCGCCTATGGTACAATACACTGGTCCAATTTACGATGGTAGTTTTGGTATGCAAAATTAAACTGATACAGGTGCAGATGTCACAGATGTTGTTATAGACGTTCGACAAATGTGTATACTATCATTCTCTTTTTGACTCCTTGATTTTGAGCTGCTAGATTGACACTTTTTTGACTAGTTCGGTAGCTTCCTATAACATTGAAAGCAGAAGTATTAGTTTAACTATCCGAGTTTCTATGGTCGTTGCGTCGATTATTTATTTTGCGTGTACATTATTTTTAATTTTGCCTCTGATGGGTCAATATGCTTCCGGGCAGATGCTGAAAGAACCGTTTATATAGCGTAAGGACAAGTACTTCATGCGGTCAATTTAAAAAATACTGATAAGAAGTTGGCAGCATACCGAACCTGTACGTTGTCGCATTTATTGGTTAGTGTTCTCTTAGAAACGTGGTACGTGCGACTCATGCATTTTTTATCAAATATTATGGTCTTTGAAAATTTTTGCCTTTAATTTTCACTGCGGCGACCGTACGAGAACACATAGAAAAATGAGTCGAATCGAAGTAACTGATTTGATTTATTTTTCGAGGAAATTTTTTGTGTGCAACGCTCTGTAATGTGATTATGTAATTGTTCTGCCATTTCCATGTGTCAAAGGAGGCATAAACAATCAAATAGAAACGTTTGTTTTTTAATTGCAAGTCCGAAAGGTGAAGCCATTAGTGACTGTGCGCATGGTGAATGCTGAACTTTTCAAATTGGTACTTATCGGTCTGTATTATAAAACTAACGCGACTAGGTGTGCCCTACACGTTCTGAGTGCAATCTATCCTGTCTATCCTCATAGATATGTATGCATGTACAAAGCCACTCTTGGCTAGGTCAGTATTGTATTGGACGTACATGATTCGATTATAATCGATCAAACGTGCACATGATCACATCAGCAAAGGCCGGTCGCGTTTCCCTAGCATACTATACTGGGTTACTCCATACATCAAGAGCATCGTAATCATTCTTCAGTACGTGACGTTGTGTTGAGTTATGCATCTTGACTCAGTTCCATGGACTGAATCACTTATATCAAACGGCTAGCTCCATATCTTAATCCCATATCTCTTACTACTGCAGTTGGTGTAAGCGCTGAAATGGAACGTGCAACTGTTCTCAAACTTGCAACGATCTACCGATCGGAGTACTTAGATAGCCTCCGTTAATTACGAGCCAAAGTATAACCGGGCGCTTGTAATGTCACAGTACAAGCTGCTTACACTGAACACAGAGAAATTAGGTGCCTAGAAACTTCACTTTTACGCGTCGTGCAGAGGAAAGTTTCAATACGAGGTGAGGATAAAGTAGTAGAAACGTATCTAGTATAGTATACTATTTTGTTGATAATTCCTAGTCATTCTTCCTTTACTGAACATAAACATGTATTGTAACTATCTGCTCACCACTCGTTGCTTACTTCTGTCGTAGCTCGGCTTTATCGGCTGATAACATTGTCATTTGTCAACAAATGAATAGAGCATTACTTGTGAATCACAACATCACTTGTTAAGCTGATGTTGTAAGAATATGATGCCTGGATGCACATATTGTTCATACTTGGTGCTAACCTTTTTATAGTACCATGTAACAGGGGCATCCCGTCACACAAAAATGGAGCTATTAGTGACTGTGCGCAAGGTAAATGCTGAGCTATATAATCGTACTTTCTTCGTGTCTTACGTGCCTGCGTTTGTCTGTCCGTCCGTCTATGTGCTTGTAGATAGCGCGGCTAGGTGTACCTTACACGTTCCAAGTGCGATACAGCATGTCCTCTCCTCATAGGTACTTAGACACGGTAAAGCCACTCACTCTTTGACTAGGTCACTATTGAGACGCACGCACGTGATTAGATCAAATTTGATTGAAGGTTAGTAGGGTCACTTAAGCAAATGCTGGACGCTCGTAAGCAAAGGCTGATCACGTTGTTTGAGTATAGTGTACTGAGTACTACAGACATCATCAGCATCATGCTCATTCTTCAGTGACTGCTGGTTTATTACATACAACCTCTAGCTGACGGACTAAAATTGTTTGTAAAAGAAACAAATTCACGTTGTGTAGTGTTTGCAACTTAATTCAGTTCTCCGAACTGAATTGGATACATCAAAGAACGAGCTCCACAGATTTATCCCCTATTTTATTAGTGGATAATATACGGTAAAGGGGGGCGAAAACTCGTTGGATGGATCTGCCGATTTCCCGGCAACACCGACAATTGCCTGGTCGTCGCTTTCGTTGCCGATATCATGATGCCGTTGTCGCAACTTTATTCATCGCTAAGGGTGGTTGTATCTTGTTTATCGTTGTTGCGAGGATTATCTCGGTCATCCCATTGTAGATGTTATCTTCGTCGTCTTTGATGGCGTTCTAATCTTGTTTTCATTTTTGTTCAAGTTATCCTGTTTATCGTTGCTGTTCGCATATTCGTGTTCACCGTTGTTGATAACCTTGTAGTCCTCATCGCAATCTGCATCGCTGTCCGAACTCTAATTTGCCATCGCAAATTTGTGCCGAATATCACCTACATATACCTGCGTGTACATCCGCCTCTTCGTCGTAATAAATTCCCGTACTGGAAGGGACGTCTGAGTCTTTTCCTAATCTCTAGGGCGCACTTGCGCAGCCATGTGACCTCACACTAAGATGGCAGGCTCATCCTAGCAGCATGTGCCGAAACATGATTTCTTGACTTTCAATATTGCAAACAAAGCATCAGTCGTGGAATTGTTGCAATGCTGTCAAGCAAAACAGGTCCGTACGAGACAATTGAATACCGTTGTGGGATTACAGTTTGTCACGATGACTCGGAGTGGCTATGGCGGACTTCATTATAGCTGAAGACCGCTATCCGGATCCAAAAGACGAAAAGTGTAGCGGAGATAAGTGGACCAAACATACTATTGAAACACTACCGACCCGTAATTGTTGACCTTCTGTGTAGGATCGACGTGCATAAAACACCGAAGAGGTGGGGGGAGTCATACAGTCTATTAGCACGAGTTGTTTGCCTATGTGCGAGATCTCTGGTAGATCCTAAGCCATGCTGTAGGTCCCGGAGGGTACCCCGAGAGCAGACTGTGGCTTTCACTATTCAGAACTGGTATTCCTCGATGGTCGCTTTCCAGCAACTCTGTACATAGCATACCAAAAAGGTAGAAATACTACTAGCTAGTCTGATATGATCTGCTAGCTAGTTTTATAGTATCCGCTTTCATGCACCCCCCCCCTTGGAACACCTTGCTTATAGACACAAGAAAGCGCCGGCTCAAGCAAAGTTGCTACTGATTCTCTCGTAAGCAAACCACTTATCTGATACGTGTACTAGAAATAGGTATCAGTAAAATGAGAAAAAGCCAGGAGGGGAGATGGCTGTCTGTAGTAGAGTTGCACAATGTGCCATCCTGCCGACCAGGTGATGTGTAGCAAATGAAACGTTTATGTACTGGAAGTGCCGAGGCAATAACGATCAGAAGCCGATACTGGTGTTACTACCGAGATGTCTCGATACTGCGCGGCACTATCATCTAGTCGAGTGTCTCGTACTAGGCATAGTAGTGCACTTGAAGCCCGAAAAAATCGTGGAGCTGCACCGAATTTGACTGATGAACGACTGGACGACAACGGAGGAGAAGCTTGTTCGTTCGGAGGAGGAACTTGCTGTGCCAAAACGGATGGTCACAGAAGAAGCTCGAGAACTTTCTCAATTGGCAGCCATGCTTGAGATAAAAATGCTTAGCAGTGTTTAAAGATAGCGAACTGAAACACGTGTAACGCTTGACAATACGAAACACGTGTGCACTGTGCTAGTCATGTACGAACATGTGCACAAATGTGCCAGCGATCTAACGCTACCTTGCGCAACAATAACGATGAGTGCTGATAAAACACCACGAAAATCGTGGCTGCAAAAACGGGTAACGCCATACCAACGATGATGTGGTGCCCCTTCTCCTCTCATTTTAAAGTTTTTGCATACGACGTCCTCCTAGTGCTCGTTACATTTGACCCCACCCATCTCTTACGCGAAACGTAGGCCACGCATTGAACGACAGAAGACCGTCGCGCTCCTGAAGGATCAAACTTGCCTCCTTTATTCTGACTGTTGCTCGTCAAGTCGCTTGTGCATTTGGAACTGATTTTCTATGACCATCTCTACCACGAAGCTGTATCTATCTGCTAAGGCTTTTGAGCCCACCTCAACCTGCACCTGACGCTCATGTACGACTCCGCTCGCTGTCGTGTCCACATGATCTAGTTGCCCGTTCTCCCGTTTTATCGGTTGGGAAGAACGTGTGAACTGGTCGACTCGAACCACGGCTTTTGTGGTCTACAGCACCATCTTGAGCGATATAATGAGCGGACCATGTCCAACAAAGGCAACACCAGGCTTTTTCAACGTGTCAGTGAATGCACGAGCAGGCGTCTCCCTGGTAACAACAGGAAAAGGAGCTAATGTGTCCAGTACAGACACCTGCCTGCGCTCAAGAATTAACTAATGCATACAGCGCGGCCATCCGCCTTGCTGGTTGTAGCGAACTGACGCTCGCAGCACGGCTATCTACTGTTCCTGTGTCGCTGAATACACTTCTGTACGGCCCGGAAAGCACTGGCACCTACTATTCTCGCCAGCGATTGTGCATGGTGACACACTTCCAGCCGAACTCAAGGAACTACGTGATACTACTGTCCTGGGGATTGAAGATAGCAGCCAAAGAGTTGTGTGCTAATCCTAACAAGACGGTCGTTCCTGACAAACAGTGCACGCAGATACAGCGTATCTTTTAGGTTAGTGCGTGCATAGCACTTGATCATGTACATGGTCAAGCCACCGCCCCCGATCCACTTCATTTGCTATTTTGCCGTCTTTGAGAACCATCAATCATGGCACCCCCTAAATCGTCTGCTATCTTCACCGTCGAAGATGCCAAGATAGCGTTCAATATTTTCTGCTGCGTCTGCGGTATCGGCTCGCTCGGCATGCCGTCCAACTACGCTCGTGCTGGTTGGGTCTATGCGACCATCGCCCTGCTCTTCATGGCGTTCGCGAACATCTACGCATCGGTTCTGCTGTCTAAAGTGCTCCTCGTCGCTCCCTCTTCTGTGCGGACGTACAGTGATTTGGGCGAGTGGGTCGCTGGGAGGTGGGGTCGACTCGTCATCCTCATATCCCAAATGGGGGTGTGCCTGCTCATGCCTTGCGCCTTCCTTGTGCTCGGCAGTTCGCTGCTCGATGTGCTGTTCCCAGACTGCTACAGCCAGACAGTCTGGATCATCTTCATGGCCCTCACGGTCGTTCCCGTGTCGTTGATTCCCACAATGAAAGAGAGTACTGGCATGGCAGTGGCGGGATGCCTCGGCACGATCGTCGCCGATATCGTTGGCATTGCGATCCTTTTCCACGAAATGCGTGGCCACTCGTCACCCCCGACAGCCAATGCATCTCCTCACCAGGTCGTCACGACTTTTGGCAACCTCTCGCTCGCGTATGCTGCTGCAACAGTCGTCCCCGATCTCCAACGCCAGCACTCGCAGCCCGAACGCATGCCCCGTGTCATCGTGGTCAGTCTCGGGCTCGCCTCGGCCTTTTTTGTGGCCGTTGCTGTCTGCGGCTACGCTCTCGGCGGCTGCCAAATGTCGGGCAACCTCCTCTTCTCTATCGTCAATACGTCGGACCCGTACGCCGTCACGACGCTCGGCTTTACCGCCAACCGTGGCGCTGTCGTCATGGCCTTCCTGTTCATGCAGATGCACCTCGCCGTGGCCTTCTCCACCCTTTTGCATCCGGCTTTCTACATGTTTGAGCGCATGATCCTCGGGATGCATGCACCCGGGACCCCTGGCAAGAAAGAGGAGACAGCGTCTTACCGCCCTGCATCGACACCCGCCGAGCTCGAACAGAGCAGCCGCGTCTCCCGACCTCAGGGTCTCAGTCGCGTGTCGGCAACCAACACGATGGTGCCTGGAGAGGACCTGTCCGAGTACAAGGGCCGAGCTAATGTTCTGCGGTACATTTTGCTCCGGATCACGGTGATCGCCTTACTGGTGCTACTGTCGATCCTACTGCGCGACCACTTTCTCGACCTCGTCGACTTTACAGGTGCCACTGCTATCACCATGTCGAGTCTGGTCGTGCCCCTCGTGTTTTACAACAAGGTCTTTTGGAAAGAGATTCCGATCTGGGAGAAGACCATGTGCGTCACGGTGGCTACCATTTGCACCATTGCAGGGTGCTACGTCATGGTCTTTTCCGGCAAGAACCTCTTCAATCCGGGCGACAAGGGTGCGACTTTCCCCTACTGCTCAGTAGAGTTCCAAGAAGAGCCGTACTACGTGGTGGGGAACATCACGGCGTGAACAGCATTTCGCAGCTCGAGTACCTGAATCTCAATATTTGTGCATCATGAAAGAGAGGTCATAGTGGTGAAAGTGGTGCATATGAAAGACGGATGTGCACGTTGGACTGTTCCGTGGGCAGATCCTGGTCGTGTGTAACAATATAAATCCTCTCCAGGCTGATCCCCTTGGCTACAGTGGAACACGCTGGACAGGCTCGTCCACACGCGCTTAAACCGAATTCGGTTAGAAATGAGTCAATTGTGAGAAATGGGCCAAATCCGAGACAGTACGTTTACATTTCGCAGCTTCTAATTTTGTATGATGTGCAGCATACATTGAACAAAATAAACATTTTCTATTTTATCATGTCTTAGATTTAGACATGGCTAGATTCCCCCCTCTTATTTAAAAAGTCGTAATCCCATTTCCAGGCTCTCATCTTTCATATGCTCGTGAATATTGCAGACCCGGATGACCGTCCAAACTAATGCACTTCTTTACATACACAACTCGGCCGCATACTCGATATGATCAAGGACCATCTTGGTCCTCGATATGATCAAGGACCAAGATGGTCCTTGATCATATCGAGTATGCGGCCGTAACCATGGACGCACGCTATAGCAGCTCGTGGTTCATCGCAATCGTTGCCAGGACAGATTGACGACCCTGTTTTTTTTGCATGTGAATTCTGAAGACAGTGATATCGCAAGCGAGGTTAGATTACTGAAATCATGTGCTCAAAATGGATAATCGCCAGTTAACAGTTTTGCTCTACCGGATCTGAATGAAGCTCTTTTGATCTCTCAAAAAAGATACCTGAACAAACTGGTGTGGAGTTGCATGAAGGTACGACACGCAAGCGCTAATGAGAACGCAATGCATCGAGCTGCCTGCTTCAAGCAGAGAGCGGCATAGGGAAGAAGTTTAAAAGCGATGGACCAAGAGATCCTACTGTAGTAGAGTTACACAACTCTTAGTCAGAGGATGGCGTACGACTTTCGAAGTCACCTAGTTCTACGGATTCAAGTTCCTTTTTGTTTAAAGGTCTTTAGTTCTCAGAAGTAATCAATAAAGACTTGGACGGTCTTTGAGTACGTAGAGCTTCTAGTCCTGGTGCAAGGGACTAACAACGACTCTAAGAATCGTACGCACAATGTGCTCTAGATTAAACGCCCCCCAACTGGCTCTTACTCGTAACGATCTGCTGACGTATCTAGTTGCAGCAGGAGGCTAGAGATCATTTACAGAGATGGTTCAAGAGAGAATTTGACACCAGCTTTGGTCAATAATAGGACTCATTTGCGAGCCTCCTTGTTCAATGAGCGACCACAGAGGTGGGCAGAGACGCCCTCGAAGGCTTCTTGATTATGCCCGCCTTTAGCGAAACGTTCCTGCCAGTATTTATCAACGCCTTATATGACAACCTCAAAACGTAGTCCATCGCTTTGGCTGGCCCATAAAGCGTGATTGGCCCTTAGTACTGCATCTTCGACAGCAGCATCCGGCTTGAGACTATTCGTTGAAAACGCTGTAAATCTATACTCTTCGCAGCACCCTGCTTTCTGTTGTTCGAACTTTTGGGTCGCTTGATCGTTAGTACATTGCCTTCAACAGCTGCACGTTCACTAAGAGCCTTTGGAGCTTGCTCCAGCATTTTGTAGGCAATTTTTGGAGGTGGTAATAGAGCCATATTAAAGGACTAATTATGGTTGCGAATTGAGATGGTGGGGAAAAGTATAAATGTCAGCACGGATGCTAGGGTAAGAGAGTACAAATGCAGTATTTGCATCGAGATTGATATCTGTAACTCGACGGGTTGATCTGACCAATCCGAAATCCGAAATTCCAATTAGTTCTGCAATAAATTGATGGTGTTGGGTGTTTAAGGGTCTCCTTGATGATAAGTGCTTGAGAATTACAGGTATGCACCCACCCTTTCATGCATACATACCCATTCAAACTGTTATTATTGAGGGGAACAAGAGATGCTCTATTTGAACACGAAAAAAAAACCGTCGATAGTTTGAGAACAAAAAAGGCCCCCGAAAATTAAAAATCAAAATAAAGCCCCGGATAATTGGAAAATAAAAGCGCCCCATGTCCTCGTATACTCTAGTTCACGCGGTACACAGATGCTGACATTATGCTTCAAATTTAGGGCTTAACCTGATAAAAATACCCTTCGTACGCTATATGCTGACGCATCCAAGTTTTATAACTGATGAGCCCTTGATTACGGATGCGCGAATATTCGTCGTGACAGAGCGGAGGTATCCTATGCTCACGTATTAATGCTGCATTGTGTCACTGCATATGTGCAACGTGCAAAACTTAGGTGGAATGTAGCGGGTGTGTAGGTCCTTTATATTTAGAAGCACCACTACTGCCAATTTAGTTTATAGTATACGAAAAGTAGTTTTGTAGCACGTAGAACAACGCAACAGGTGGCGTGGCACCAGATATTACCGTTAGAGAGTCGCATGCCAAGTGCTGGCGGATACAGTCCGACAAAATCTTGTTGAACCCTTCGTATTGTACGTTTTCACACGGACTGAATCATTCCTCTAAAATTTGATACGTATGCTATAGTGTGCTAAACGTCGACCAAATCTAATGTCTTGTGTGTGTTGTCATAATCTCTTGAGTTTTCCACATCTAGCGTGTTGTCCTTGAAGTGTAACAAAAAATTAACAGCACTGACTAATCCCTGTTACAGCACTGGAACGTCTCCATCAGCATTAGTGAAGCCTTTCGAATAGATAAATAAGAGTCAAACAGGTAGAATGGATCCGTGAAGGTATATTGAATGATTGACGAATATATAGCCTACGACCAGGATACGTACTCTTATCACTAAATTAAAAGCGACAACAACAGCGCTGAAGTATCAACACCACCACACAACAGTAGTAACAACAGAACACTAACAGCAGTACCAATAGCAACGACATCGGCAGCGCCAACACCAACTTTAGTAGCAGCGGTATCAAAAGCCACAGGAACACATAATAACTTACATTAGTAATTACAACGAATACAGCCACAGCGGTAGCAGCAATAATGCCACCAGCACAACGACACTTGAAATAAAAGAGCAGCAACTGGAAAAAATAACGATATTATCAAATAGACATTACAAAACAATACTAACGATAACGAAACGATAACGGCTACAATACCGTCAATCAAATCAGCATCAGTAACGATTGTCTGCACTTACGACCGCGGACGACGATACGTAAACGCGTTTTGACACTATCTGTACCGTCTGCACCCGCAACCTGTGGCTGTGAGCGCAGCACACCCGCGGTAGAACCTCTACGCGAAATTACCTGCAGGGCGTGGGGTTCAGCACGGCCATTAAGACATTAGTGAGAAACGGTACAAGTCTGTGTTTTTTATGTGTACCACATTAACTAGTATATACCAGGACGTGGATCATTTTTCTCATTTTCTGGGGCGTTATTTTTAATTCGTAATTCAATGGGGCCCATTTCTATTTTCTCTATAATAAAATAAACTTCGCCTCTCACCATATTTACCTTTTTCTTAAACAAAGGGTATTGATATTTTCACCCTCCATTTTGTCTTTTCTTACTCCCTAAACCAAAAACAGGGTTGCTTTCTATTGTTCAAACACAGCGCGGTGAATAAGGTCACGTGCTGGTACACGCCGATGACTTATTGTCCAGAAAATTGATCATATTCTAGGTTGAAGCTGACCACTATTAGATGATTTTTCAAAGTTGCATAAAGTAGATGACGAGTACGTACTGGTCTTCAGGGAATGGATGCTGTCGAGAAAGAAGCCCACAAGCAGCATTAGCGCGAGCTAGATCAAATGCGCGAACCTGTTAGGCTGTCCACCAAAGTGCAGAAGAAACGTCCGCTTCCTTCAAGGTTAAAAATGCTGATCAGTAGTGCAGTAGGCGAAGTTACGGACGAAGCATACTGCATGCCAGAACATGATCTTAATGCGTACCCCATGAGTAAAGTCAATTCGATGAAAACAAGAAGTGTAAAAACACCTCGAGTGCTGAAATACAGAGCCTACAGCAGCTTATCGATAATGATTGGGAGCAAGAACACTGTCGAAAAGCTGATTTTTTTTAGCAGTACAACGCATAGGTGCGCTACTGTTTTATCTTGCTGTTTTCGTTTTGTGTGTATGTAACAATGTAAATGATGATCTACACCACTGTATCGTTGCCAGCCTAGACTTGATGATGGACGCTTGCTTTACTTAGCGCGCGCCTTCAAGCAAATCGACGATCCCGCCTGATCGTACAAAACAATTATTTCCTCATTTTTGTACTTGGACCTGAAGACCCGAGATGAAAATTAAGCGCTTGCTACTATTTGAAGGGTCATGAACGAATCTTTTGTTGATATATACTTGACTGTAAGAACCTTTCAGACTCCATCAATTTTTGCGCAGATCTGTCTGGAAGTATTATTGTTATAGTGTGAATGGCGATGTGTAGGCAAATCGATATAGCTGACATATTTTTGGATTCTGTATAAGTTGTGAAGTACACCTTGTTTTGGTTTCAGGGGGTTGAATATTAAAAATGGGGGAGGTTGAAAATTTCATCAAATTAAACAAAGTAATCATATTCCAAATTAACACAGCACTGTGATCTCGACCATTACCAAAACCTCTCTTGTGCACTTTAAAGCTGGCGCCGAGCAAGACTATATTACGAAAAAATAAGTAACTACTTCGATCTTTACACTGCTACAAGTCAGAAAAAAGTTTTGCATTCATAAACAACGCTCGACCTGACGACAAACATCATTTTTTTTGTTTTTCAACAGCAACTAATTCTGCCCGATCGAGCAGCTTTTTCTCGACAGATACCGATGACACAACGATCTCATACTGACGCAATTAGCAGTTGCAGACCATGTAAATCACGACGATCTATTACTGGAGCGAAAAAAAAACGATCTGACCTATTGCCTGTGCATGCTTGTGCGGTCGCTTCATCAAAAAGAAAAGGCAAACGATTTTA